GGCGACGGCCGGGACCCCATCTCCTCTGTAGCCGACGCCGAGACAGCCCGGAGTGAACTCCGCGGCCTCGGAGCCCGCGGCAGCGACTCCCTTCAGCCTCCGCCGCCTTGCCAGCCCGTATCCCGGCCTCAGCCCCTGGACAGGCCCCTTCGGGCAGGGGGCCTCGGAGGCTCAGGATGGCGGATTTCGACGAGATCTATGAGGAGGAGGAGGACGAGGAGCGGGCCTTGGAGGAGCAGCTGCTCAAGTACTCGCCGGACCCGGTGGTGGTCCGCGGCTCCGGTCACGTCACCGTGTAAGGCCCGGAGGAGGGCGAGGACGGGAGGTGCAGGGCTGGGGCGGGCCCCTTACTCCGCGGGGGCCCTCTCGCCCCGATGTGCGTCTGGTGTCGGAGGCCTGCGGGAGGAGTAGGCGACCAGGAAGTGAAAACTTGCTTTATTTTCATTGGTTTCGGTCTCTGAAGTGGGGACAGACGCTGCCCTCTCTCCCCCCGCACCCCTCTTAGTAGGCCCTTCGGGCCTGGGCGCCTTGACGGATCCCAGAAGGAAGGTTATTCTTCAGGGTCTGTCCTTCCGGCCACCCCTTCAGCTTTGGGGTGGAAATATGCATTTTCTCATCCAGTTACCCTGTGCTTCTGTCTCCTCGTCTGTGCCTTTGAGCCTAGTGACATATGGCTCAGAGGCCAGATCTGGGCCGGGTGAGACCCCAGTGACGATCGGTAATGAGTCGTTCCCTGTCCTTGTGTATTTCACACACCCACAGGTCTTCCCAGTTTCTTGCAGAGTCAGTTTCTGCGGAACTGGGGCAAGTTCCTGTAATTGTATATGATAAAAAGAAGTATAGATGAACATATATATTTAAGATGCAGAACGATGTATGCTTACACATAATTTTTTAAAAAATCTATGTGATGGGCACACACCGCTCAGGTTACTGAGGGTTCTCAGTAATCTAAGTCCCTCCTTTGGGCATGAACTCTGGGATGGCTTCTTCATTTGATAAGGGTTCCTGTAAGTCCAACTGGCAACATTTTAAAAGCGCAATATTATTCAAACAATAAGGAGGAGACCTTTCTGAAAGGTCATGACTAATAAAGGAATGTGAAGACTTGAACCAAATAATGAGCTGTCCGGAAGCAGGAAGTTTTGTAATGTTTCTCTGAGAAGTACAGAGTTTTGTACAACTTGAAGTATTTATACTGTTTTTCATTTTAGATCTCTGTTCAAATCCTAGGTCAAACTTCATGCTTGTCAGATATCTCCCCACTTCACCTTTTTAGTAAAATAAAAGGGCCAGCAAGTCTGAGACTGCCTGGAACACTTTTCATTATATTTTTGCTTTAGGGTGAGTGGGTCTTGCAGTGAATAACTTTCAGTGAAACAGTAAGACTTTTCATATAAGATCGTCAGCAAAACCCTTGCATTTCTCAATACATGATGTGACCAGCCATATTGTTTGGGTGTGCTTATGTAATGCTTTGATTTCTTTAGCACCTGTTAGTTTATATTCAGGTGACTTAACCAGGGTGAAAACGCTGCCTAAGTGCTGTCACAGTGCCATGAGAAGACAATGGAATTTATCACCACAATAACAGTTACTTAGTATTTTAACTGTTATCACCAGCAGAATTAAGAAATATAACCAAATATAGTGGGATATTAAATCTTTTTTTTAACACATATCACAGAAATTTTTAAGTCTTCAGAGCCTGCCATTTAAGTTTTGTTTGACTATTAGGACCTTTTTACATTCTTTTAAACCTAAGGAGTGCTTAAAGAAGAGTTTTCAAACTTTATCATGTTGTCTGCCCACCCTGCCCCTTACATTCCTCTTGTCAAAAAAAAGCTGGCAATATTTTATTTAAAAAGGTGCAACTATAGTTATAATGTTTCCTCTGTTTAAGGAAAAGAAAAACTAAGTACTTTCTTGGGCATTATGGAAAATATAATAGGGGAACTGCTCCGAACCAAATAGGTGATTAGTAAGTTTGATTTTAGTTGACTGCTTAGAGAGGTTAACAGAGTGGAGAGAATTATTAGTGGTTCTCAACGTTAGTTGCCCATTAGAATCACCTGGGGAGCTTTAAAAAAAAAAAAAGCCTTGTCTTTGCCCCAGTTGAAAGCCAGTTATCTGAGTGAGTGTCCCAGGCTTGCATAGCTTGTTTAAAAAGTTCCACAGGTGATTCAAATATGTACCCAGGATTGAAAACCACTATTTCAGAGTATAAGAGGAACTATATGCCACCAGTAAGCAGTATGCCTTTCTACGAGGGGAGTTAATTTTTGTGCGATATCCCTCAGCAACTTCCCTTTCTTTCCTGTTACCTTGGTTCCAGGCTCTGGGTTCAGATCTATCCTCTGCCACTTTTTGGGTAAATTATTTATGTCTAAGACTCTTCATTTAAGATGGGGATAGTTATAGTCACTCACTGTTAAAATTATTAAGGATTAATTGAGAAAATACATGCAAAGAATTCATCACATTGTATGGTAATGTGCTCAATATATATTAGCCTTTATTATCATTCACACACACAGCGTTCCACTTTGAGAAACATAGGAGTAAAGCACAGTACTAAGAAATCTGAACTGCCGTTTTCAAACCTAATAGTGATTCACTTTAGTCTTGTTTTTCCATTTCTAGACAATTTGTATGAGGTTAAATTATTGTGTGAAATATTTCGGTGAGGGTTAATAAGAATCTTTCTGCATTGAAAACCTAATCCTGTTTTGTGGTGCCATATATAAATATAGTAACAGTAATGCAAAACTTTTTTTACATGACTCTGTCATACATAATTTACAGGCTTACTATGCCAATAGGAACCAAGTTAACACCTATAAAGGTTTCTGAAATTGGTGTTTATGGGTTGCTATACCTGTTGAGCATGTTCAGTTTTTCTTGCCTTTAAGTATAAATGGGGGGACTTCTCTGGCGGTCCAGTGGTTAAGACTTCGCCTTCCAATGCAGGGGGTGTGGGTTCGATCCCTGGTTGGGGAGCTAAGATCCCATATGCCTTGCGGCCAAAAAACCAAAATATAAAATAGAAGCAATATTGTAACAAATTCAATAAAGACTTGAAAAATGGTCCACATCAAAAAAAAAAATCAAGTATAAATGGGAAGAGCTATTAAAATAATTATAAGACTGATTAAGCTTATCACTGCAGCTGCCCTACCCCCTACCCATTTATTTAAACTAAGGTACTGTTCAGAGCCCTTTTCCCTTGAAAGGCAATTATAGTGTAATGTATAGAATCATCTGTAATACAGATCAATCTGAAAAGATATAGATCCATCCATATGTGTTTTTCACAGATTTCACTTTTGAGTAGACCCTTATAGTTGAATATTTCTACTCTTTTTTCCCCCTATGATTTACTACATCGTATTATAATATTACTCTCATTTTAGACATGACTATATTCTCATATGATGTAATTTGGCACGTCATTATAGTGACGTGAGAAATTAAGTCACCTTCCATTTTCTACTACACAGGCAGGTCTTCGTTAGTTTTGTGGCATAATCAGACTTTGGGGACGTAAGTATTTAAAATGTATAATTTGCCTAAACGAAGCCTGCTTTAATGTAGTTTCTAATAAAATATTTTCATGTTGACCCCAAATCAGGCTTAAACTGTGTACCTCCGTTAAGATCAGTATTCTTTCTTGATATGCTTCTAGATGAGTATAATAATTTCCTTCATTTTTGGATTTGCATGTAGCAATATGAAACAGGGTGGCAGCTCCAACAGGAAGAAATCTTGTGCAGAAGCATATTTTGAGGAAAGTGGCATTTGAAGGAAGAGAGGGAAATGATAAGTTCCTGTTATTGCATAATGTTTATGTACATGTAATTTAAAAGGCTTGAACTCCCACTTCAATTAAAAGTAGATTTCCTCTGTGTGTGTGTGTGTGTGTGTGTGTGTGTGTGTATTATTTTATTATGTAATGAAGATGAGGGGAAAAAAGTGATTAACTTATTAGGTGGTATTGGCCAAATTTGTTAATATTTTTAAATTATGGCATTCTTTGCCCCTTAGAATATATTGGTGTAAAATATAATGATCATTTGTTGAAGAGTTTGATTTTTCACAATGACGATAGTGATGTGTTAATATAAAAATTAGAATTTAAAACTAGTTTTAGGCCAGTATTCCCTATCTAAACTATCATTACAACTGACATTAGTTCCTGTCTCATTTCATGCCCTCCCATATCAGAATCAAACTTGGAGCTTTCATAGGGCATGTATAATCTTTGACTTCTAACATAAGCCCCGTCATAGAGCCAACTTATTTTACTGGGGTTTGTTTCTAATTTCACTAAATTATTGTGTCTTGGGGTACTTTCTTCTGAGGTATAATCTTCCTGTCATGTCCACAAATAATTCCTCATCCTTTACCAGTTTTTATCAGTGGCTGTGGGGCATCATTCTCTTTGTCTTCATCTCAGGTAAGCTGTGGAAAATTGAAAGATTTAGAAATGTGACTTGAAAAAATATGGGAACACTTTGGGATACAATAAGATCTTTGCATAGGAGACATCACAGGAACACTTTAGTGTATACTGACCTTTCAGGTGGTAGGGTTAAAAAAAAATTGTCTTGAAATATATATATTGGACCAAGACTGCTTCTGGATGCTGTGGTTAGCAACAAGAGACCTGAACATGATTTGCCCAAATAACAGATTCACTTTAGTTTAACAGTTTGTTTTAAACTTTATAACTCCCACCTCCTTTCTTCCACCCAACATAATTATTCCATTTTTAAAGATTAAATTTTTTGTTTGGAGATTTTTGAAGATCTTATTGATATTTCTGCACAAAGCTGGATAGTTCTTTGAGGGCAGGAATTATGCTTCTTGGTTTTTATTTCTCCATTGCTTCATATAGTGTCTGGAATGTTATAGGTCCTGAAATGTTCTCTTAAGTAAATGAGGTGATTGCATACATCTTTGGATCTTGTTAGAATTGTCAAAGGAATAACTGTTTTCTTCTTTTTTCTGTACCTACCAATGAAGGCAAACAATATTTTACAATAGAACTCTTATGAAATCACATTTATAAGATAAGTGGCCAGTCTTATTTTATTTATTTATTTATTGGCCGTGCTGTGCGGCTTGCAGGAGCTTAGTTCCTTGACCAGGGATTGAACCCGTGCCCTCGGCAGTGAAAGCACAGAGTCTTAACCACTGGACCACCAGGAAATTCTCTGGCTTATCTTTTTTTTTTTTTTGTAATGTATATATTCGTTTATTAAAAATCCATGCACAAACATATTCATTTTTGTA